GTTGGAAAACTTGCTTATTCCCTTAGGTAGATACTTGGACTGCAAATTGTTCAGCATCATGCTCTGTGTTCTGAGTCCCCAAGAAATTGGCATTCTTAATTCAGTGACAGCTCATGACCCATATATTCTCCAGCTCAAAAGGAAGTGTTGTCACTTAAGTTACCTAATTCAGAATCAATTTAGAAATCAAGGAATGCCCTGGTTGTAGTATAGCTTGTCTTGACACTGCTCTATAGATGAGAAAGAACACCAGGGAAACATGCTATAAAGAAGATGTTGATGCTGAGCCAATAATTTAGGCTTACATCTTCAGCTCTAGACCTAATAATTCCTGATTTAGACCATAAACTTAATCTATCCAACTCTCATCAATACTGAAACAGAAATAAGAATATTTACCTATGTTGAGAAAAAATTGAACCTGGCAGGGTGAGTTAGGAGTAACTTGTTGAAGAGAGCAAGACATTATTGGGATTGCCTATGCTTAGTGAAGTAAGAGAGTGGTGATATTTATGAAATAATGAGACTTGCTGATTGTTGCCTGTCTGTGAAGATTATGATTTCTGTTCTAGAATTTCTATCTGCAAAGATCTTCAACATTAAACATTTAACATTGTTTTTGAACTCTTTTTCTTGGGTTTGATCCACTGGGACGTAGACAGAAAAAAAACAGATTGATTTAGAAGAGGAAATAAAAAAGAAAAAGCAAGTATTAACATTGAACCCAGCTGATAAGAAAACAAAAGAAGCAATTAATTTATTGTGAGGGCAATTTAATATGTCGATGGCAGACCAGGCTGCAACTAGTCTGCAATATGCTAAACATAATACTTTCTGTAATGCTAATAAACCAGGTGGATGGTTAGCATATTTGTTAAGGAAAAAACAAAAGCTACGTACTATAGAGAAAATAGAATATAAAAGTAAAGAGGTATACCAGCAAAATATGATTAAAAAAGCATTTTTAGAATTTTACATGAGGTTATATGCTAGTGATAATATTCAAAGTATAGATATAGATAGATATCTACAGAAGGAGAATATTTCTATAGTTACAGAAGAGCAAAGGGAAGGTTTGAATCAACCGATAACCTCGGAAGAAATTGTTTTAGCAATTAAACAGTTGAAAGTGGGTAAAGCTCCTGGGACAGATGGAGTGACAGCTGTTTATTATAAAAATTTGCAGTTAGAAATGGTGGAACCAATTAAGGAATTATTTATTAAAATACAATCTGGAGGAGATGTACCCTCATCTTGGAGAACAGCATTTATTTCTTTGATTCCAAAAGAGGATCAAGACCATAGTCAGCCAAAGAACTATAGGCCTATATCGCTTTTAAATACAGATTACAAGATTTTTGCTAAAATACTAGCAAATAGGTTAATGCTAGTTATGCAACAAATGATTCATAATTATCAAACTGGTTTTATAAATGGGAGACAAATGAAAAGTAATGTAAGGCAAATAGTTAACATATTGGAATATTTGGGGAAGAACAACCAAGTCCCTGCGGCGCTTGTATTTTTGGATGCGGAGAAGGCATTTGATCGATTGAATTGGAATTTTTTATTGAAAATAATAGAAAAGATGCAGTTTGGAGAGTATTTTACACAATCTATTAAGGCAATATACCAGAAACAAACAGCACAAATAATAATTAATGGTAGTTTAACAGAAACTTTTAATATCGAAAAAGGAACAAGACAAGCATGTCCTTTGTCTCCATTACTGTTTATTTTGACTCTGGAATTTTTGCTGAATAAAATATGTGGTTCAGATAAAATAAAGGGAATTAAAATTAGGCATTATGATTATAGATTACGAGCATTCGCAGATGACTTGGTTGTTACTTTAACCCAACCAGTGCAATCGGTTATAGGTTTAATGGATATAATTAATCAATATGGACATGTATTGGATTTAAAATAAATGCAGGGAAAACAAAGATAATAACTAAAAATATGACTATAAATCAAAAAGAAGAAATAGAAAGAGTAACAGGATTTGAAATAGTAAAGAAGGTTAAATATTTAGGGGTTGATATTGTGACTTCAAATGCAAAATTATACAAGTATAATTACGAACCGTTGTGGCAAAAAATACAGAAAGAGATGGAAAACTGGAAAAAACTACAACTGTCCTTGTTGGGAAGAATAGCAGCAGTAAAAATGAATGTTTTACCAAAGTTTTTATATCTTTTTCAAATGATATCAATACTTTAAAAAGATGCAAATCTGAAGGAATGGCAGAAGGGTATCAGTAACTTTGTTTGGGCAGGAAAGACACCGAGAATAAAGCAAAAAATAATGCAAGATATACGTGAGAGAGGAGGTCTCAAAATGCCCAATTTAAGATTGTATTATGAGGCAGCTGCAATTAGTGATTGGATTAATTCAACAGAAGAGAGAATATTGAATATAGAGGGATATGTTTTGGTATATGGCTGGCATGCATATTTATTATATGATAAAAAGGTGGATAAGAATTTTAAAAGTCATATATTAAGGAATGTGTTATTACGTGTCTGGAAAAAGTATCAATATAAATTAAACAATAAAATACCTATATGGGCAATACCCAGACATGCGACAGAGAATATAAGTGTAGAACAAAAACAAGTTGTGATCACCTACAAAGAGCTTCTTATTATGGAAAGAGGCACATTGCAGTTAAAATCTTTGAATGTATTAAAAGAAGAAAGGATAATTCAAACTTGGTTTCAGTATGGACAGCTGCAAGCTAGATGGAAAGAGGATCAGAAAATTGGTATCTTGCAAAATGAGGAAAACTAGGTAAAACAAATTAGAGACCAAGGTCAAATGCACATAAAAAGGTTGTATAACGTACTGATAGAAATAGATTCAGAAACGGAGTTAGTCAAAGACTGTATGATAAAATGGGCACAAAATATTGAGGAACCAATAATGATGGAAACGTGGGAAAAAATATGGGTTAGAAACGTAAAATTTACGCAAGCCCAAAACTTGAGAGAAAATTTTTATAAAATGTTTTATAGATGGCATCTAGATCCCAAAAAGTTAGCTTGTATGTATCCAGGTTTACAATCCAAGTGTTGGAGATGTAAGTGTGATGATGCCACGTATTATCATATATGGTGGACATGTAAAAAAATCAAGGCATTTTGGATAAAAATATGGTGGATTATGCAAAATATTCTTAAAAAGAAGATAAAGTTTACCCCACAGTTGTTTTTATTGGGTATAATTACAGATTGTACGGCTATAGAGATTAATTTGATTTTGAATTTAATAACTGCAGCCAGACTTTTGGTGGCACAGCACTGGAAGAAGGAAGATTTACCTACTATTGAAGAATGGACACTAAAAGTGGTGAATTTAGCGGAGATGGCTAAAATTTCAGCATATTTGAAGGATCATTCAAATGAAAGATATATATTGGAATGGAGAAGATGGATTGACTATATTCAAAACAAATATGAGACCAAAAATAGCTTATGAATGAAAAAAAAAAGATATTTAAGGGAATTCTTATATTTAGTCATGTAAAGGGGAGTTAAAGTGCAAAAGGGAGATAGGAGTCTATAGATAGTTTGCATATGTTAGTTTATGTTTGTCAAATGCTATACCCTGTATTTTGCTCTGGGAAGTCCGGGGAGGGGGGGGGGAGGGTTAGGTTGGAAGGGGGGAGGGGGGGTGGGAAAATTGTTTGTAATTTTTTTAAAAAAAACTTTTCAATAAAAAAAAAACGACACAGGAATTGCAGAATCAAGGGGTAGATTTAGCATGGTAGCCATACTTGCAAATACAATCAAGATATGTGAAAGATTCAAAGACATATGGTTTTTATAAAGAGCCAACAGCATTTGGTCGGATACTTGTATAGACGGATGAAAAATTAATAAAGAAAATATATAGCTACCTGTTAAGTATCAAAATGGAAGACAAACAGCTGAAAGAAATGATGATAGTTTGGGCAAAAATTTTTGGATACACTATAGAGCTAGATAAATGGCAAAAACTCTGGGACAGAAATCATAAATTGACAATACTACTACTACTACTTATAAAGAAAACCTGTATAAAATGTTCTATAAGTGGCATTTGTCACAAGCAAGACTAGCAAAGATGTTTAAAAATATATCTGCTAAATGTTGGAAATGTAATCAGATACCGGGTCCTTATTATCACATGTCATGGACATGTTCAAAGGCAAAAAAATTCTGGGTGAAAATACATACATGATTAGAGAAAATGATGAAGCAACACAATAGTTTTAAAACCAGAAATATTTTTGTTAGGTATATTACCAGAAAATTATAATAAAGGGATTACATATTTACATGTGCTGACAGCAGCAAGAATTGTATTTGCACAATATTGGAAAAATCATACACCTACAGATGAAAGTATAATTAGAAAAATATTAGACTGTACGGAGATGGATATATTGACAATAATAAAAGATAAGGAAGAAACAGAATATTTTTAACATGGGATTTGTTTTATCAATGGTTAGATAAAAGAGTAGAAATTAGAGGATGAAAGATTACTGATATGTATAAGTAAATGATGCAAGAATTTGATTACTGTATATATATAAGTAAACATTATTATGATTATGATTACCAGTATGATCATTAATACTTCGTATAAGCAAATTAATCCAGACAATACACTGTAAATTAAGCACTTATGTATTTCAAAGAAAAAAAATGTATAAATAAATAATTTTAAAAAAGAATATCAGTTATAGCAGTCATGAATATCCGGATAAATATGTCTGTCTTTATGGTAAATTAATGTGTTGTATTGTGATAACATGTGGTACTTTGACTTGGGTTCTCTTGGCTAGATTAGAGATAGCTATTTTTAGATAAGGTAAATTAATTCAACTGAACAAGGAAGATCAGTCTATACTTCTGAAAAAGTTGGAGAAGATCAAGGAGTTAATTGAGTCATCCTACAGAAAAGGACAGTTTAATAAGAAACTTGAACTGGGTGACCTTTCAGGAACTTACTGTGCACAAGAGAGAATCCAAAAAACTGTCTGAAAACAGTGCCCCTTTGCATACGTTATGGTTTGACTTCTCAGAGTTTTCCATTCCAGTCTGTTGAAAGAATTCTGCATTTGCAGCTACCTCTGTAGGAGAAGAAAACACCAAAAAACAAACATGCAATACAAGATCAACTGCTTGCATATATCAGCCTAAATAAATGGAAATTATAAATTGGGAAAACTCCACTAGATCCATTGCTACAGCATGAAAATGCACACAAGTAGTCCTCACCTTATAATCAGTAGCTTATTGATGGTTCAAAGTTATCACAGGTGCCACAAAAGCTACTTACTACCCAGTTTTGAAGTTCCAACATCACTCTTCTACCATCACAAAACTGCATTTTGGGGACTTGGCAACTGGCTTGCATTTATAACCATCTGCAGTGCCCCATAGTCATGTGATTTACAAAGGTTTTGCTGGAATCTGCTGTTTTCTTCCAGTAAAAGTAATGGCAGATGTTTATTATTATTATTATTATTATTATTATTATTATTATTATTATTATTATTATTATTATTATTAATCAAATTTCTATACCGCCCTACTCCCGAAGGACTCAGGGCGGTGAACAGCCAAGATAAAATACAGATAATACAAATATTAAAAATCCCTTAAAATTATTAAATATTTTGGCTGAAACACAGATTAAAACACCCAATTTATAAAATCACGAATTAAAAATTTAAAAGAGGAGAGTTAGGCCAGACCAGCCTGCTGAAATAAAAAAGTTTTGAGAGCACAACGAAACGTGCGCAGGTCCGGGATCCTCCGTATCTCTGGGGGGAGCTCATTCCAGATGGTAGGTGCCCCCACAGAGAAGGGTCTCCCCCTGGGGGCCGCCAGTCGATACTGTTTGGCCGATGGCACCCTGAGGAGCCCCTCTCTATGAGAGCGTACTGGTCGGTGAGAGGCTATTGGTAGCAGAAGGCGGTCTCGTAAATACCCCGGTTCGATGCCATGGAGCGCTCTAAAGGTGGTAACCAAAACCTTGAAGCGCACCCAGAAGACCACCGGGAGCCAGTGCAGCTCGCGCAGGAGGGGGGTCACATGGGAGCACCACGTCGCTCCCATAACTACCCACGCAGCCACATTCTGGACCAGCTGGAGCCTCCGGGTGCTCCTCAAGGGGAGCCCCATGTAGAGAGCATTGCAGTAGTCCAGGCGGGAAGTAACGAGAGCATGAGTGACCGTATTTAATGAGTCCTGATCCAGAAAGGGACGCAACTGGCGAATCAGGCGGACCTGATAAAAAGTCCCCCTGGCCACGGCAGTCATGTGCTCTTCTAAAGACAGCCGTGAGTCCAGGAGGACACCCAAGTTGTGAACCCTCTCCGTGGGGGCCAATGACTCACCCCCAATAGTCAGTGATGGCACCCACTGACTATATCGGGATGTCAGAAACCACAGCCACTCGGTCTTGGATGGGTTGAGCCTGAGTCTGTTTCTCCCCATCCAGATCCGCACGGCCTCCAGGCACCGGATGGTAATGGCAAAAAACATCTGTTAGCAAACAATGGGTTCGCTTAATAACTGCCACAAAAAAGTTGCAAAATTGAGTCTAGTTACATGATCACCCACTTTATGACTGTTGCGACTTATGACAGTAATTGCCAGGCTCAATTGCAGTCATAACTCAAGGATGCCCTGTATTGTGCCAGTTTCAAAAATTCTCCTCCCAGAGTAGTTTGATGGAAAAATTTACTTTAGAAAGCTTTCAAAGGAAAATTGTATTTGGAAATACACACATACATGCAATATGTATGTATTGTAGTATATATTATATGTAAGTATGTAGCCAAAGATATTTGGGTGACTTTCTTGTTCTTAATTTTATTGTTTTTGCTAGTTGCCTTAGGTTGCGTGGCAAGTAAGTGGCTGGATATATAAGTAAAAATAATACATAAATTGTTTTCCTGATGGTCTCCAATTTTTCCAGATTTTCAATATATTCTGGGGAAAGAGTTCATTCCAAAGATTTTGTAGATTTAACATTTTTATTTCTTTAGTAGAATGCTGTTTTCACTATTTTTGAAAAACTGTCAAAAGCTTTCCTTTCCTTTTCATTCCCTCATTCGTCTGGAGAAATTCTGAAAAGTAGTCACCAGATTTCTCTTCCCATAACTTAAGTATTTTCACTGCAGGATTATCAGATTGTTTGGATATCATATATATAGTACTACACTTTAATTTAATTACATGATGCATTAAATTATTGAAATCAATTTGCTTCTCCAGTTCATAATCTTAATACTGATAATGTTGGTTTGTGCCTCTCAATAGTATTTCCACCAATTGGCAGGGTTTCATACCAGAGTTTTCTTCAGCCCTGTCAGAAATGGCAAGAGGCTGGTTTTCAATAGGATGCAAGGATATATTCTCCCATTAAATCATGGCAGTTTTTTTCAGAAGTTTAAATGTTACAAACTAGGAAACAGAGCCAATTTGGTGCAATGATGAAGGCACCAAACTAGAAATAAGAAGACCAGTGCTTTCTGGAATGCCTGCATGACTGCACAACACTGTGTTGAACAATCATAGTAATAAGTGCTGCAAAGCAGCTGCAAAGCCTCTGCAGAAACCTTGCTGCTTTGAGTGTGCAGGGCATTTCTGCATACTCAATGACAAAAAAGAAACAAGCCTTCAATCCTCCATTGCTCCAAACAGACAACATCTCTTAGGTCCAGATATGAAGCTATATCAGTCTGGTGTAGTAGTTAAGGCATCAGGCAAGAAACAAAGAGAAGTGAGTTCTAGTCGCACCTTAGGAACAAAGCCAACTGCGTGACTTGGGCTAATCCTTCTCTCTCAGGCCTAGGAAGAAGGCAAGGGCAAACCATTTCTGAAAAATTATTGCCAAGAAAACTGCAAGGATTTGTTTATTTGTAAACAATATTTAAGGCACCAAAAAGAGGGGAGAATGGAATAGAAGTATAGAATATACCTCATCTTCTATTTTACATGAGGGGATCAAACTATTTTCCAAAGCACCAAAAGATGAGAAACAATGGATGGAAACTAACCAAGGAGAGAAGCAACCTAAAACTAAGGAGAAATTTTCTAAAAGTGAGAGCAATCAACCAATAGAACACCTTGCTTTCAGAGGTTGTGGGTCCTCTATCACTGGAGGCTTTCAAAAAGACACTGGAGAATCATTTATCTGAAATGGTTTAAGGTCTCTTGCTCAAGCAGGGGGTTGGACTAGAAGACCTCCAAGGTCCCTTCCAACTCTATTATTTTATGTTCTAAATCCATTTGAGCATCATAACTACACCAATTAAAAATCATCATTCTGGGTGTACCCACCCTTGGGCAGGAGTGAGAGAAAACCCCTCCAGATGGAAAACTTTTGTTTAGCTTCCTGCTGAGTCTTTGTAACACTTCATTATATTTATTCTCCTGATAAGCCATTGAGACATCTTTAAAGTTGCTGAATTAGCATTTAAGTCAACCCTTTTATTGTTCTTTGGACACGGCACGCTGTCACTTTCTATCTGCGGATTCTAAAGAGAGCTGGCAGTAAATAAATAATGCATCAGGCATATTGCTTCTTGAAATTTGTTCCTAGAGAAAAACTTACTAAGCTCAGTGATGACAGAGATCCGTTTGGAAAAAGTGCGTGATTGAACTCCAGTTGAATCTTCATTGAATCCCTGTGGATTATCTTTTGATATCAGTGTAAGAGGGAGGGGGAGGGGGAGAGAAAAGAAACAAAGAAAGTCAGGCATAAATATAAGAGGTTCTGAGCCTGCCAACAAATGCTTCTTAAACATTATTTAATGCAAACAAAGAGACATTTCTTTGGCCTTCAGTTCAGTTCCAGAACTTCATTATCTTGGAAGCTTTGCAGAATTACAAATGGGACTCATTTTGTCCAGGCTGTTTTTTTTTTCTTAATAAAGAAAAAAGTTTAATTCACTTCTTAATTAATGTGCTGTAACGAATGCAGCTATTCAATAGATTAGGTTGTCTCTGATGTTGCAGTACGGCACTTGGCTTTAAAATTGGAAAGGTATATTTTGGTGGTAAGATGTGTATATGAATGGCAATAAATTCACACGATTAAGTGCAAGGCTTCTTAGCTTTACCTCTCCCCCAACTCTTGCACAAAACAGGAAAGGACTGATAATTACATATATGTAAAACAGACATAGATTAGAGAAATGGTCAAACATGACCCAGTCTGATCCTTTAGGGAAGAAAAACCCTAGACTCCATTTGGTTGAAGTGAAAGGTACTTTTACTAAGAGATGCTGGTTGTCGTAAAGTCAGACAGAATCTGAGTTTCCCACACAACAAGACCAAACCATTTCCTTCAGTGCCCCTATGACCAGTCCAAACCCAGCCAATGCTATGCCATGGGGATGTTTTGGGAATGCTGAGGTGTTTGGGCTAGTAACTTTTCACACTCAGGGCAAATGCCTTGAAGATGTCTGGCATAAACTGGTTCCACATTGATCTGCTTTCATTCAGTTGTTATTCCCCCTCACAAATTCCCACACAAAACTGCATACAGGTTTATTGCCCATTTGTCCTCCCCTCATGTCTCTCCCCAACCCCCACCAGTCCTTTGATGGCAGGACGCCAGCGTGGTACTAAGACAAAAATAGTGGACTGACATAAAGACAGATTTCACAACTTCTGATCAATTGTGTGAGACTCTCTTTAACTGCTTTTTCAGAGATGGTGCAAAAATTTATATATTCAGTACCAGTTTGGCTACTTTATTTGCTCACTGCTTGCCTTAGCCAACCAACAGCATTGCTCATTGGCCCTCTTAAAGGAATATGAACAAAAAACATTGCCATCACTTTCTTTTATTTCTGTTACAATGCTTTAAACTACTGCAACATGATAGGCAGTAGCAACAAACACACATATTTATATATCTCTCTCCCCCCCCCATTCATTTCTCTCAAGAAAATCCCAGGAAAATTCTCTTCTTCCCCTGGTTGCAATGACAAATCATTTATCCTACAGCAGTAGTTCTCAGTCTGTGGCTCGAGGACCACTGACTGGCCATAATGTAATCAGAGGGGGTCAGCGAAGGCTTGAAAAAAAATTAGGATTTAAATCTTGTGTTAAGTCTTGGGGGTCCGTGGCCATGGTCTGTGGCCATAAAAGGTATTTAAATGGGCTCCATGGCGAAGAAAAGGTTGAGAACCACTGTCCTACAGCATACTTCCATGCATTCTGATGGTGTATCAGGAATTGGAAAGTTATCAATGTGGAAAATCCATTATCTTTGCTGATCTACCTTAAGAATATCCTTTTGCTTTTTACTAAATTCAGGAAAGTTATCAGGAAGGGAGAGACGCAGATATTTCTGGGACAATTTGAAGATGTTTGAAGATTGAATCTCTGCTTCATCCTGAAAGGGAGATTTAAAACACCTAAAGTCCTCTAAAATGTAAAAGAAAAGGTAAAATTTTTCCCTGTCCAGTCATGTCTGATTTTAGGGGGTGGTGCTCATCTCCATTTCTTAGCTAAGGGAGCCAGCGTTGTCCAAAGACATTAATGTGATCATGTGGCCAGTATGACTATATGCTGAAGGTACACAGAATACTGTTACCTTCCCATCAAAATGGTACCTATTTATCTACTCATATTTGCATGTTTTCGAACTTCTAGGTGGGCAGAAGCTGGGGCAAGGAATGGGAGCTCAACCTGTCATACTGTGGTTGAGTTTCGAATCCTAGCCATCAGCTTTCCAGCTAACAAGCTCAGTATCTTTAACTGCTGAGCCATTGCACCCATCAAAGTCTTCCAGGACACCCTCAAAGACAGTAGGATCAAAAATTCAAAATATTCCAGCCTTAATATTATTTTTGCAGAAATTCCTATTCTTATATTCATATCTTTTGGCCTGATACTCTAAATTGAAACCTTCACATTTGCCTCAAAATGTCCTGTAAATATATATGATAATAAATAAAATCCAAAAAATAAATAAAAATCCAATTTTGTCAATAGTATGTGTGTGTGTGTATGATTTTTATTTATTTATCATATTTATCATATTTAGAGATCACCTGTCTCCATCATAGAATGACATTGAAAAAAAGGACAATTGTAATTATTTCAACACGAAGGAACAAACTAAATATATGAAAGAGGGAGGAAAAAATTACACACTGGATTGACTTAATCGTCTCTTCTAATTGTTTTTTGACACAAAGCATATACTACCCTGTGCATAAGCCTTGAAAATAAGGGAAACATTCCTTACTTCTTAACTTAAATCCTTAAAAAAAATTGCAGTAATTATTTCTCTCTCCAATATGTTAATGACAAAAGCAAGGTCATACTGCCAAGGTGGTAATAAATTGGATTAAAAGTAAAATTGGCTGTATAAGCAGGAATTTGGGCAGTATTAGACATGTTGGTGGGATTGTTTAGTCAAAAGCTAAAGGAATTAAAAATAGATACTGGTGCATCCACATACTGTAGACAAATGGAATCCAGGGGGAATTGTTATGCAGCCGTTAATCCAGTTTATATGTCAATGAACCTATAGCAGCCACTCAGCAAATTGTAAAAACAGCCTGAAGAGATGAAAGGATTTCACACATGCTATAAGAGGCTCCTAAAGACAGTGAAATTATCAGCATCTCAGAAAGAGGATCTACACTGCTTAAGTCAAATCTCTTTCAAATCAGATTTGACCCCTGATGCCTTAGGTGGACACATCTGTGCTGTTACCTTGGCAACAAAACAGATAATTTGCTATTACTTTTTGTGAAACCTGTCTGCCTCTGCCTCCGTCTCTCTCTCTCTGTCTCTCTGTCTCTCTGTCTCTGTCTCTGTCTCTCTGTCTCTCTGTCTCTCTGTCTCTCTGTCTCTCTCTCTCTCTCTCTCTTTCTTCCATCCATCCATCCATCCATAGTATTTATCATCTATCTATTTATCTACCTGTCTGCCTGCCTGCCTGCCTACCTATATATCTATCTACCTACCTAAGTCAAAAATAAACTTATATCCAAAAACTAACCAGGGCTGACCATGTTTAGCACCCAAGTCCAGATACAATTGACCACCCACAGCTGAGATCTGCAATTGTTTGTTAACTGTGACCACTTTAAGCCATTTTACTGATTTTTGCATTCATTGCATTCATTTTGTTAAAATATCAGATAATTAATCACAATTTCATTGAAGAAGGATAGGAGAAAACTGAAATGTTGAGGGTAATATTCTGGGATGAGCTAATATTAATTAAGGTTCCTCCTCCCATTATGGAGAAGAGAAGGACTACTTGACATTTGTGTGCATTTATCATAGGTTTTTGTATTTACTGACATATTTTGGGTGTTTGGTTTTTTAAGAATTTTTGTTTGTACATATTTAAATTGGGAAGTCTTTTGAAAAACAGGAAAAGGTTGATTTCAAGCATGTAATTAAATATGAGTTTTCCAAATGGCATTCATGGAATTCAGCAACTGGAATTCCCTTTCTTTAGTTTTATTCACTAGTGTCCTTTAATTTATTGAGAATAATCCTTCTCCTGCAGAAAAATGTTTAAATGTCCACGATTGGGTCGAACTAATTAAGAATCATTGAGTTTTGCTTTGGCTGTTTTAAAGCAACTTCATTCTTGACACAAATAACTCTGAAGAAAGATATGGGCCTAGCAAGATATGAGAGGTGAAATTTAATTACCGAGCTAAAACCTGTACATATAACCTGTAGGCAATCAAACTTAATATATTCCTTTTTCAAGAAACCACTCCAAATTGTCCTTTTTCTTTTGTTTGTTTGAGTTTTGAGACTCTTTAGATGTCCAGTCCTTCTGAATTTTTAGAATATATTTGAGACTGAGCCAAACTGTTTTTACTTCTTTTGTGTATTGAGACATTAGGATGCTATGATTATGGTCATGTCTATATATTTAACAATCTAGAGCTTATAGATAATCATAAGCCAAAGTATTGTCCTTTTTAGCCAGTGCCTTCACATCAGGTATCCATCAGGTGTATCTTAACAACCTAAGCAACCCTTGTAATTTATGGAAACCCATATTGTAGATATTCCTAAATGTCAAAGGCATATTTTAACCAAAGAACTATCAGACACCTAGGGTTTGCTATCATTTCAAACTGATGAATAGCTACCTCATGGCTTCCCTGTGGTCCATGTCTAAGAAAATATTCTTTCTTCTCTAAAAAAAAGAAGAATGTAAAACAAACTACTGGTGTTCTTTCTCTCTTTGTTGTGATCTGCCAGCAGCCTGCAGAGCTGGCAGCGGAGTCAGACAGTGAGAAGGCTGGGGAGGACAATGGGTCAGTCCTGGAGTCAGGGGAAGGCTCGGACGAGGGCTCTACGTCAGAGGCAGAGATGGGGCCAGAGCCATCTGGGAGCGATCACGGACTCCGGAGCCTCCAGAGATGGATAGCAGAGAGGCAGAGGAACAGGAGGAGCCTGTTCCTAGTGCATGCATGCGAAGAGCTGCCAGAAGGCAAGAGCAGCTTAAGCAAAAAGGACAACTCGGGAGTAAGGCCAGGAGATGATTGGCCCCTCCCATAAGGTTTAAAAGAGCAGCAAAAGCTCTTGGGAACTTTGTAGGAAAGCAACGTTGCTACAATTGTCTCTTGTCTTGCTACATTTGTTTCATGTCGGAGTCTCTTTCTTCTGAACTTTTGCCAAGAAAAGCCTTTGGCAGGATAC